TCCCCTAGCATTGTATTTAATCTAACAATTTTTCGATTACATCACATACAACAACCACTGGCCTTGTTACAGTCTTGCAAAAACAGTTAATGATTACTATAGAATTACTGTTTCCATTCTTTTTATTAATGTGATTTGTATAATATGCAGTTAGGTTTTTCCAAAACATTCAACGTTATTATTTAGAACAAAGATTTGCTGCAGAATTTTCTCCGAGATGTTGGAGATGTTAGATCCCCAGAACTCGTTTGATATAAATATCTTTATTGCGGATTTTATTCATGGGATGATCAGTTGACCTTCAGATTACATTTCTCACCAGCAAAAATCCTTGGCTGTGATTGATTACTACTTTGTCAGTTTAATGTGATATTTTTGTGACTGTCCCAAGGATATCTCTATGGCGTATAAATAAACGCAATTTGTGTCCTGGCTGGATGTTTGTAGAATACGCTATATCAAGACTTCGTGCTGGTACAGTTGAGACAATCGGATCACCGTGGCCTACCTGGACGCTGGTTCATTGTCTTCTTCTCGTTATTCGACTAAGGTGAACTCGTAAACACGGTTTAAGCATACCTAGAGACGAGCATAACACTACTGTAATGAACAAAGATATCGGGATCCGAAAGAATAACTGATCTTCCGAAAGGAGACTTTAAGCAGATTACTGTCTGTCTTGACTCACATATCTTCTAGTCTTTAGAAAGATCACGCTACACATTCGTATTTGACATTGTTTTCTCTCTGGCAGTAAATAACTTGTGGGCGACGCTCTGCTGCATACTACTTATAAGTCACGTGGTCAATAGTAGTATTACACCACATTACTAAGTTTGAGCTTACAGTACAGATACAGATAACTGTTATTGATTAGGGATTAATTATTCATGTTAGGGTATTCATCAAGTATCCTAAGAGAATTATTTTCGGAAGCCTAATTATATTGGTCGATTTCCTACTGGTCAATATCATGGTTGTCCTTGATATCAATGTTACGTACTTCATTGTTGTTTCTTATTCGACCCAACTGTATAAATACTCATTATCTGTAACGTTTTATGACCCGGACCCGGACCTGGATCGCTAGTCCCGGATCCTGATTCTCTTCTGCACTCGGAACTCGTACTTTCTGGATGCTTGTAGAATACATGTTCTACTTCATATAAAGTCTTCTCCTTTCACTCAATGGGGTTAGAGTAGCAAGGGATTAGAGTAGCATGTGGTGTCGCCGGATACTCGATCCTCACTCTCGTTTTTCGACTAAGTTCAAACATATCAAAATGACGTGTTGACGTTCATGTTGAATATTTGAAATAATCTGACTGATTAGAGATGATCAGTTTCTTGTAACAAATAACTGAACAAAATAAAATGAAAAACATGTTGGGCATGAGATCACACCTTACCAATAAGTAGCCTAATTTTAAAGAGAAATAAAAACTTTTGAAACCATGGATCGAACAATGTTAGACCACCATTAGAAACCCGGAAGCACTGAATGAAGGCCGTTTCTTCCTGGTATGGGACTCCTCAGCAGTGCGCATCTAATGGTGGTCTAACATCGATCGATTCATGGTTTCAAAAATGTGTAACTTAACAACCTTCACAACTCCGTAATGCTAATTACCTGTGCTCACTAGTGACTAGCTTCGTGAGGAATCTTCTCCGAGTTCTAGTGGGAAGACGTGACCACTGAAGTTCAACTTGTTCGGGTGTAGGCAGTGTCTACCGAAGACTGTGTATGAGGTTGCGCAACTCCGTGAATTTGATCAAGTTAGACATTAACACCGTTGGATACCGGCTCAGTGGTCTTAAGGTTAGGGCGTTCGCGCACAATACCGAAGGTCCTGGGTTCGGATCCTGCGAGGTGAAGGAGTCGTGGATGCGCACTGCTGAGAAGTCCCATACCAAGACAAGACGGCCTTCCAGTGCTTACAAGTTTCTAATGGTAGTCTAACATTGATCGATTCATGGTTTCAAAAATGTGTAACTTAACAATCTTCACAACCCCGTAATAGAAATAAAAATATCACGTTGTCCAAAGACTATCGGATATCATCTTAGTGATTGTATCCGGAATGTTTAATTTGAATTATTTGGGAAAACATAAAAAACAAACAATTTTCTCCTACTAACCAATAAAAAATATTTAACTCTTCTGTATTTCCAACACTATAAATAAATAAGAGAATATTCATATTCATATTTGCTCTTGCTGGACAGAACACAGTCAATGCTTTGGACAGTGTTTAATCAGCATGGCTAAATAGAAAGTGAGCTGTTTAGTTAATCCCAGGTGGATGTAAATTACGAATTGTTTCATGTGCAGCTGAAATGTTATTAGTGCCAAGAAATGCCACAAATTCATGGAGTCACTGACGACAAGTGGACTGAGTCATGTTGGTAGATGTAGGCTACTTGGTTGGGATCCGCGAGACGATAGTTACCGATGGTTAGAGACTTTGAATGACATGGCTCAAAATCGTTTGCGATGGCGCACGTGCATCCACTCTTTGTGTTCTATGAAATTCTAACCTTCTGAATTCCTCATCCTCTCCATCTTTCCCCTTCTACATTTATCTTACTGAATGATACTTTTCCAATCAAATCTTCGCTCCCTAATCTTCTTCATTACTGCTAATACTTATATTATTGCTATCACTGTTGGATTTGAACTGACAGTTACGTCTCTGTGCTGATTTGGTATGGCAGGCAACCTGAACTGATGTACTTACTTATGTACGAAGTTCTGCATTGTATCTGTCTGTCTGTCAGTCATATTCATCTATCAATTTCGAATAGTATTTTCCCGCGCTTTTTTGTGTGTGTTTAAATTAGTTATTTTCAATGAATATATCTATCTAACTATTGAACCACGCCTATTCATTTGTAAATTAGTTAATAATTAATTCATTGTTTGACTGTAATAAATCTTGCCACATTGAATGGCATGACAAAATATGTGTGTATAGTTAATTATTTAATCGTGAAAAATTTAAAAAATTTGAATTTGTTTTAATCCGAACATTGAAATCAGTGTAGAAAGAAAGAAAGAGTTATTAACTACAGTGAAACTGATTTCATCATTGACCATCCAGTTGTTCATTCCTTGGTTAGTTAGTGAGTGTGTTCATACAAATCAATAACAACAACAACGAACTATCTAATTCAATAATTCTCTTACTTACAACCTTGTGTCTGTTATCTCCAATCAAGCATAGGCTACTGACCATATTCTCTAACCTACTCTGTCATTGGGGCCTTTTTTTTATAGTTCCGCCCAATTATTATTGTTTGTTCTTATCATGTTTTTTGGGCAAAGTTTTTGGACATTTGTGTTTTTTTACACATTTGAAATCATTAATCAATCATTGTTAGACCAGCACCCTTAGAAACTTGGAAGAAGCACTGCAGGACGGCCGTTTCGTCCTGGTATGGGACTCATCAGAGGCAGTGCACATCCGCGACCCCTGCACCTCACAGGATTCGAACCCGGAACCTTCGGTATTGTGTGCGAACGACTAATCATCGGACCACTGGGCCGGCGGCATCCAACGGTGTTAATGTCTAACTCTCATTGATCTAGGGATTTCGCACGACCTCATCCATTTGTCTTTGGTAGTTACTGCCTACTGCACTCCATTAGTCACGTCTTCTCAACTAGAACTCCGGTATTTTCAGTTAGAGCTTTGGAGATTTGTGTGAGGTGCAAGAATCTTGGATGCGCACTGCTGCTGATGAGTCCCATATGAAGACGAAACGGCCGTCCAGTGCTTCTTCCAGGTTTCTAATGATGGCGTAACAATGATTGATTGATGATTTCAAGTGTCAATGACAACTGGACTAATCCATGTAATTCGGTACAGACTAACTGGTTGAGTTATGTCAGACAATAGTAGCAGGTGATTAGAGGAGACCTGGAATGATATGGCTCAAAATCTTTTGCAATGGTGGTGCAAAGGTGCATCGACTCTTTGTGTTCTTTCAAATTCTAATCTTCTGAATTCATCATCACACCTTTATCTTTCACTTTTAATTTTATTTCATTAGACTATACTCCTTGAGCAGTATCTTCGAACCCTAATCTTTCCGATTATTGCTCATAATTCCACTACTTGTACCACTATCGGATTTTAACTGACGAATGTGCAGCATCTCTATGTACTGAGAACTGTTACGATATTTTCGGGCAGAGTTTTTGGAGGTTTTGTGTTTTTACACATTTGAAATCATTAATAAATCATTGTTAGACCACCATTAGAAACCTGGAAGGAGCACTGCAGGACAGCCGTTTCGTCCTGGTATGCATGGGAATCATCATTAGGATTGCTCATCCACGACTCCTGTATCTCTCAGGATTTGAACCCAGAAACTTCCTTTACTTTAAATCCAATCTTTCGGATCATAACCCGCCCTCCTATGGCATGAACAAAATTCCAAAGTAACATGACTTGTAGCTCAGCCTAAATGTATAATCTTTAGCATTTTTTTTTAAAATCAATTCTCAAAAAAATAAACACCTACAAACTAGTCATTTGATTTAATTTAATTTAATTTGAAAAAATTACAAAACATTTCCTGTACAATTTGTTTACAATTCAATAAAGTATAAATTAATTTTATGTTGATATATTTTCGAAAATTAACCCCGTATACAACTTGTGTGTTTGTGTGTCTTGTTCCCTGTGTACTAATTTCGAATAAAATAAACTTGTAAGAGTCAATAATTAACGTGATATATATTTATTCATCACTTCAATGTATACATATATGTTAAGTGTATTTATTCTATTTAAGAATAGGGGAAAAAATGTTGAGTTTTATTACTACAGTACAATGAAATCAAAAACAGTTTTGACAAAAACGAACAGAAATTAAAATTTTTACAAATTGATACCTACCTACCTTCCTTCCTTCCTTCCTTTTTTCCTCTTTAATTAAACTTAACTTTTATTTAAAAAATATATTTATTTTCTTCTCTATTTCCCTTTGTTTAGTAATAAACCCAACTCTCATTCAACACCAATGAAAGAGACAATCGCATCGAAAACAACCAACAGTATGCCGACAAATGTTAAATCATCACCGACCAAAGTGATGTCATCAACTCCTGTTCATCAGCAACGAGCACCAACGACAACAACGACTACTGCTACTACCGCTACTACCGCTACTACTACTCCATCGAAGACATCTTCATTATCATCTCAATTGAAAAAATCCATGAACGGAAATGTATCCAACACGAAATTAACGCATAATTCACATGGAATTGATTCTCATCCGAAACGTCCATTGTCTTCTGTTGAAATGACCAAGAAATCATTGACTACATCGAAATCACATAGTACAACTACAAAACCTGTGAATACAGAGTTGAAAAGTACAACAACAACAGCACCGACTCGACCATCGTCTACATCTAAAACAACATCATTAACAAAGTCAAAATCTACTACTACTACTACCACCACTGCTGAACGTTTAACAGCACATTCTAATCTTGTTAATCAGCATGTATCGAAAGCACCCCCGCGTAAATCAGACACCACAACAACAGCCCACTCAGCAGCCGCAAATAAATTACCGATAAAGAAAACGTCTAGTTTAAATGTGAAAAATCATCAATTACGTAATGCTAAACCTATTAAAGAAGAATTAGAAATCAATGAACATAAAACAGAATCAGTTCATCCCAGTCTACCTTCTGTTACATTACAGAATATTTCATTGAATAATGAATTAACCCCTGTCGATCCAATGTTGAATAAATTGATGCAATCATCTGTACATGATGCTGCAGAAAATTCTCAAGATAATTTATCACTGATAAATTCAAATGCCATCATTGATAATCAACCTATCACTGTGACAGAAACATTATCAGAACAACAAGAAGTAGGAGAAGACAAAGGTGAAGAAGTGAAAGGTGAACAACCATCACAGGAATTAGATGATGACCTATTGCGACAATCTCAACAGGAGGTAGAAACTGTTGAAGTAGAAGGAGAGCTACCGCAAGAACTGCGTTATGACGTATTGCAACAATCACAACACGAAGTAGAAACTGGTCAAGGAGAAGGAGAGCAACCACAGGAATTAGATCATGAAGTATTGCGACAATCTCAACAGGAGGTAGAAACTGTTGAAGTAGAAGGAGAGTTACCGCAAGAATTACGTTATGACGTATTGCAACAATCACAACACGAAGTAGAAACTGGTCAAGGAGAAAGAGAGGAACCACCACAACAGGAAGTAGAGGGAGGTGAAGTTGAAGGAGAGCAACCACAAGAATTACATCATGAAGTTTTAAAACAATCAGAACAACAAGAAGTAGACGATGAAAAACCACAAGAATTACATTATGAAGTATTGCGACAATCTCAACTAGAGGTAGAAATTGGTGAAGTTGAAGGAGAGGAACCACAAGAATTACATCATGAAGTTGTAAAACAATCACAACAGGCGGTAGAAGAAGGTGAAGATGAAGAACAATCACAGCTGTCACATTATCAAGTGAAAGAGGGTGAGGAAGGTGAAAGCCAGCAATTGCAGGAATTACATCAGGAAGTAATGCAACAATCACAACACGAGGTAGAGGTAGGTGAAGTTGAAAGAGAAGAACCACAAGAATTACATCATGAAGCTGTAAAACAAGAAGTAGAAGAAGAAAGTGGAGAAGGTGAAAGTGAGCGATTGCAGGAATTACATCATGAACTATTGCGAAAATCTCAACAGGCGGTAGAAGAAGGTGAAGTTGAAGGAGAGGAATCACAAGAATTACATCATGAAGCTGTAAAACAATCACAACAAGAAGAAGAAGGTGAAAGTGAGCAGTTGCAGGAATTACATCATGAACTATTGAGACAATCACAACAGGAAGTAGAGGGAGGTGAAGTTGAAGTAGAGGAACCACAAGAATTACATCATGAAGCTGTAAAACAAGAAGTAGAAGAAGAAAGTGAAGGTGAAAGTGAGCGATTGCAGGAATTACATCATGAACTATTGCGACAATCTCAACAGGAGGTAGAAACTGGTGAAGTTGAAGGAGAGCTTCCACAAGAATTACATCATGAAGCTGTAAAACAATCACAACAGCAAGAAGAAGTAGAAGAAGAAGGTGAGGAAGCTGAAAGTGAGCAATTGCAGGAATTACATCATGAACTATTGCAACAATCACAACAGGCGGTAGAAGAAGAAGAAGCTGAAGACAAAGTACAATCACAGCTATCCTGCCTTCAAGGATTGCAACAATCACAACAACAAGAAGTAATAATAGAGTCAGCTGAAGAAGAATATAAAGTACATAAAGTTATTAAAGAAAATCAAATGTTAGCAGAAGAATCCGATGAACAATTGAATTTTGAATTAGAATGTGAATTAAAACAAACTACACCATTATCATATAATGATGATTCATTTATTGAAGGTGATGATCAAGATGAACAACAAGCACATGAGATAGTCGAAGAACAAGAAGAAGAAGAGCAGGAGGCGATGAATCTTGATGTTGAAAGACAACAATATGAACAAAATCATATAACAAAAGAATCCATTGTCTCTTCAATAGGATTACATAATGCACAATCTTATAAAACTCCATTTGACACACCATTTGATGTCGATGAGATGTTATCAGAAGAATCATCAAGAGTTCATGAAATTGATACAGATAAATCTGTTCTAGTCACTGAACCTTATTCATCTGAACAATTTGAACAACAACAAACAATTGAACAATTCCATACTGATGACAATCATGAAAATGATAATATGTTTGATATTGAAACTGATCAACACAAAGGTATTCAACAATCATCAGAAATAGAAGGAGTAGTTGTAACACCTGAAAATATTATTCTTACTCATCCTAATGATGATGATAACTCTTTAACTATCAAACAAAACAATGAAACTTTCAATTTAGATGAACAAAAATTCTCAACTATTAATAATGATGATTTTGTTGTTGTAAATAACTACTTAAATGAACTAGATCATTCTTTAAATAATCAACAATCAATTGAACAAAATCAAATTTCACAATATTCATGTGATGATAATAAAGACAAGATGTTACAAAAAGACAATAGAAATGATGATAAGGAGGATGTTGAATATACTGAAATTGTCGAAATTCCATCTCAACCAATTCATAATGATCAAAATGATTATCTCTGCACAGATCCTGTTGAATATTTCTTGAAGAAGAACCAAGATAAAATGTCAACTGATACAAATGATGAATCTGATCTACGAAGTCATCAATCACACACAATGAATGAATTGTTTCATGACAATATCAATAATGTACAGTATGTTGAAGGTGAACACATTCCAGATTATCGTCATCAAGATCAAGAAAATGATATTATTGAAGAACACGACGAACGGCAACAACAATTATCATCAGAACAAAAACAAATTGACAGTGTAATGAATGATGATTATGAAGAGCAGGATGTGGAGAAAATTCCACTCACTAATCGTAATCCCATTGAACAAGTAAACATGATCAGATCAAATGATTTTCTTACAGAAATTATTCCTTTATCTGATAAAGGCATGATTCATTCTTCACCAATGGATGTTATTCAACCAGTTGGAAGTGAATTGATTACTGACAACAATCAAATAAACATTAATCTTATCTCTGGTGAACAAATACATTTCACAGAAGAAGGAGAAGCAATAACTGATCTTGATGATACACAGTATGACGGTGGTGATTATGTCACAGATCATTCTATTCAACGATATGATAATGAACAAGAAGAAGGAGAAGAAGCTGACAAGGCTGATGATGTGAAAGTAACCAACCAAACTGAAGAACTAACAGAAATGTCAACTGAGAATGATACACCATATTCCATTGAACATTATGACTATGTACCACAACCACAACCAATAGATCATGAGAAACAACAAACTGAAGAAGAACCAATTCATTCAGATATTGATGAAATGGAAAAAGAATTTATTATACCCAGCCAACAAAAACAAATTCATGCTGATGATGATGATGACCATGCAACAATGGATGACTATCATAGTCATAGTCAGTTGAGTTCACATGAAATGCAATCACTACAACAACAAACTATCGAACTGGAGAAGGATATTCCAACAGATAATACAACACTAACTACTACTACTACTGATCATCATGATTCTACTACTGGCCATGATCAAGTTGATTCAAGTACCGATCAATTACAAGTTGACCATATCATAAAACAACAGCAACCAAAAGAAATCGATACATATCAATGTGAAGAAGAATCCTATGATAATAAAGTGGATTCCACAACAACCACCGCCAACTATGATGAATCACATTTTGCTGTTGTAGATCATGATCACGATGATGCAGGAGACGATGCTGTGGATGATGATGTGCATGACAGTCATGTTGATCATATTCATTCGAATGCTTATGAACAAGTGATTCATACTGGATTACATGTAAATACAATGTCAAATATTGATGATTATCAACAACAATTACAACAGCAACAGCAGTAAGTTATGCTTATTTATATGTGTGTTGTGTTGTGTTGTGTTAGTCGTAGAGATGAATGAGATATTAAGGGGTTTAAGAAGGATTTGATTTTGACCAGTTTGGTCTCGTGTTGTGTACTGTTACACGGGTATGAGGGGGGTTGTCACTAACCAGCTGCCCACACCGTGGAAGCTTGTTTCTTGAGGAACCTGAAAAGAAAGGTAGATTGGTGTTGGTTTTAGAGACCTGGGTGCGTGACCGCAGAGCCCAGGATAAAACTGCTTGAGGCCGTTCACGCACAGCCTTTTTATGAGAAGTTTTTTGGAATGTTAGCTCCACTCGTAAAAGCCCTTAGTGGCCACCCTTACCGACGGAGACGGAAATCCGTGAGGTAGGGTGAGGTCTGACAGTTTAAGGGTCGACCATTTCTAACCCTTCCTTCCTTGTGATGAGAATTCAGCATCGCTGCAGATGCTGGTTGTCCGAGGGAAACACCTTACTGCTGTCACACCCCTTTACAGTCAGTCAGCAGTACAACTTCGCCCTGAGACGTTGAGTAGTTGCTTTTACTCACATCGTTCTCCATTCGACCAGCCTGACATGGTAGAACCTTCAGGAACATATGTTCCAGCCAATATTGCTTGGTTGGGTCATGACGATAGGCTAGCTCGACCACCACTTGTCAAAGTAGCAGCTACTGTCGGGGTTGTGTTATGTTGTGTTGTGTTGTATTATATTCCTCTGTTTGTGTATACACATTGGTTCTTGTCAATACTTTCGGATATACAAGTGAAGAATACGGTTTGATTTTATTTCGCCAAATGATTCTTATTAGGTTTCTACAGTTAGTCAGTCATCTACAACATAGAACTTCGTACATAAGTACATCAGTGTTTAAGTTGCCATACTACATCAGCGCAGAGAGATTCAGCTGTCAATCCAAATCCTATAGTGGAACAAATAGATAGTAGAAGTATTAGCAGTAATTGAGAAGATTAAGGATGAAAGATGTTATTCAAGAAGTTTAATCCAATCCAATAAACTTAAAAAGAGGAAGATAGAGATGATGAGGAATTCATAAGATTAGAATTTGACAGAAGACAAAGATTGGATGCACCTACGATATTGTAAATGATTTTGAGCCATGTCATTCTAAGCCTCTAACCATCGATTACTATCATCTTGTTGACCTAAACTGGGTAGTCTACATCTACTAACAAGACTCAGTTCATTTGTTAATGACTATTTGATTTTGTTCCATGTTTTGGTCTGGCTGCCCCTAGCTTTCTTCGAATCTCCTCCTACACCACAAAGCATAGCTCGTCAAGGCAGTTGGTGGTTGGACATTCGTAAAACACCTGTCCCAACCACCTAAGGTTTCTACAGTTAGAAATTTAAAAGAATGATTAAGTTTATGACACATGATAATATCAACTTGCTTCGGCACCTGAACCTAGTAAGTGAAGTAGTCGAGCATGTAGACCGTTTCAGTTTTCTTCAGAGTTTAATTAGTGCTGATGACCTGGTATGAGTGACGAAATCTCAGCATGGATACAGAAGGCTCAACCGGCTTTCGCCAACCTGCGTCATTTAAGGCGTACCTGAGATATGCGTTTGCTAACCAAAGGTCGAGTGTACTGCGTAACCGTTCGCTCTTTCATATTACATGGCTGTGAAACATGGTCGGTAAGAGTAGAGGACATTCGTAGGTTATTGGTTTTCGATTATAGATGTCTTCGAAGCATTACTTGTATATCCTCGGACAGTAGAGTAAGAAATGCTATATTCAGGAAACGGGTATTAGGTTGGGGTGGCATATCAATTGATGAAATATTAAAACTTCATCAGTTGAGGTGGTTGGACATGTTTTACGATTGCCTAACCACTGACTGCCTTGACGAGCTATGCTTTGTAGTGTAGGGGTAGGTTGGAAGAAAGTTAGGGGTGACCAGACCAAAACGTGACAGAAATGCATGAAGTCACTGACAAGTGAACTGAGTCATGTTAGTAGATGTAGGCTACCTGGTTGGGGTCCGCGAGACGATAGTCATCAATGGTTAGAGACCTTGAACGACATGGCTCAAAATTGTATGCAATGTTGCAGGTGCATCCACTGTTTGTATTCTCTCTAATTCTAACTTTCTGAATTCGTCTTCATCTCTATCTTTCTCCTTCTAACCTTATCTCACTCAATTATACTTCTTCAATAATATCTTCCATCCCGAATATTCACTTTTACCGATTATTCGTCTACTATCTTCACCACTATGGTATTTGAACAGAACAGCTGCATTTCTCTGTGCTAATATGTAGGTAGTATGAACACTTGAACACTGATGTACTTATGTACAAAGTTCTACCTTGTAAATGACTGACTGACTAATTAAGGTCATTCGCAGTATTATATACCTGAATTCTGTAATTATCTCGCTATAGTCAAATAAATTCACGTTCATAATTGTAATTATAACTTGACATCTACCATCTCACTAATGAAACTTTCATGTGTGCGTGTGTGTAAATGAAGTTGATTTTTTTCAATTTTGGTCGTATTTCTGATATACAGTACTCTCTTTTTTGTTTTCATGATAATAAACTGTGATAACAGAAACAATCACTGTGTATTTGAAATTGTTCATTCTGTCCTTATCAAAAAGTGTTGTACCATCATTCATTGTTCAAGTGTACTACTTACTATTTATGCGATGGAATAGTTCACTGGTGTGTGTTATTACAGTGTTTCCAAAATTACCACTACACTATATCAATGTGTGATTTACAAACATACATGACCTGGATATCACTAACTGATATATTGATAATAATAGTAATATTAATTAAACTTGTGTTATGACTGAAATTGACAAAAAAGTACTCATTTTTGAAACCATGAATCGACCAATGTTAGACCACCACTAGAAACCTGGAAGAAGCACTCGACGGCCGTTTCGTCCTAGTACGGGACTCAGCAGTGCTCATCCACGACTCCTGCACCACACAGGGTTCGAACCCAGGACCTCCGATATTGTGCGCGAACGCCCTAACCGTTAGACCACTGAGCCGTCGTTTAACGGCGTTAATGTCTAACTTGATCAATTCACGGAGTTGCGCAACCTCATACACAGTCTTCGGTAGACACTGCCTACACCCCAACAGATTGAACTTCACTGGTCACGTTTTCCCACTAGAACTCGGAGAAGATTCCTCACGAAGCTAGTCACTAGTGAGCATAGGTAATTTGCATTACAGGGGTTGTGAACATTGTTAAGTTAGACATTTTCGAAATCATGAATCGATCAATGTTAGAATACCATTAGAAACCACTAGAAAAAATACTAAAACACAAATTTTTCTTTGTAAAATTTGACTTCAGATCTGTGATGTATAACAGAGTTACATGGATTGATTATTGTACTAGCATTTTATTGTTGAGATTGAATAGATAATTGAACAGAGTCGTTTGTTTCCATTTCAATATTAGTTAACATCATCATCATCGTCTTCATGCGAATCTCACTGAAGAATTTAAGACAAGTTTTGACATGATATTCCTTACTGGTTGGTGAATGCTTTTTACGTTACCTCAAATTGTGTCTATCAGGTTACATGTGTATGGCAAAGTACATGGACTGTGGTGTAGGAAGGAGTTGATTTTGACAGATTTGGTCTCGTGTGCTGTTACGGGTATGAGGGCGGTTGTCACTAACTGGCTGCTCACATCGTGGAAGGTTGTTTCTTGAGGGACCTGAAAAGGAAGGTAGATTAGTGTTGGTTTCGAGACCTGGGTGCGTGACCGCAGAGTCCAAGGGACAACTGCTTGAGGCCGGCCGCGCACGGCCTTTTGATGAAGGAGTTTTTGAGTATTAGCTCCGCTCTTGAAAGCCCTTAGTGGGCACCCATACCGACGGAGGTGGAAATCCGTGAGGTAGGGTGAGGTGTGACAAATTTAGGGTCGACGTTTTCTAACACTTCCTTCCTTGTGATGAGAAGACAGCATCGCTGCAGATGCTTGTTGTCTGAGGGAAATACCTTACTGCCGTCATACCCCTCTGAAGTCAGTCAGTAGTACGACTTCGCCCTCAGACGTTGAGTAGGTGCTTTTAGTCTCATCGTTCTTCAATCGATCTGCCTGATATGGTGGAACATATGTTTCAGCCAGTATAGCTCGGTTGGGTCATCACGATAGTCAAGCCCTACCACCACCTCGAGGTAGCAGCTACTGACTGACTGACTGATGGACTATGGTGGTGTTTGATTCTCTAATGTGGATGTTTTGGTTGTGGTTTACGGTCAACAGCGACCAATCGAGATCGAGATTAACAGAACAAGCTACAGCAGGTCAAACGTGTAGAAATTCGATCAGTTCATTTCTATGTGAAGTTTGTGCTGATGATGATGTTGTTCAGAAGAACAACAATGAATACTCTACAACCAAAACAACATCCAGCTCAGAGAACGAAACACCACCACAATCACCCCACCTGAGCTAAAAACTTTCTCCACCATCTCAAAGTTATAACTGACGTACGTACGTACCAAGTGCTGCATTGTAGCTACTGACTGACTGATCCCATTCGCTTAATTGTCGTTGCTCTCGTCCAACTATATTTAGAAATGTAAAGCATTAGTGCTTGAAGATTTAGAAGACAAAAGAGTTAAGTGAACTGTTTGAATTTCACAATGTCTGTGTTCTCTTGCCGGCCACAGTTACACAGGGAAAGTAACTAAATTCTTTATTACTAATTTGGTGTTACCACTGAAGGAGAGAAGTCCTTCAAAGGTACACTGAACACGATACACAAAGAGCCATTTAAAATTTTCAACTCGGAGAGGCTAAGCTTTCGAAGTATAGAGTAAAACTGCACTGATTTACACACTGTAAGCTGACTTTTTTTACGACTCACAACCGTCAAATCCCGGAATCGCTCCTGATAGTTTGATGTCTCGAATTTCAGCCATTTTAAGGTATTGCACATTAGACATCCATTATTCTCTAGCGCTCCTAACATGTTTTTGAACTTCAGCATTTTTTGAATCTCTACCTTTGTCATTAAACATCGTTTTATCTTGTAATGACATTTGTATTTCATATTTGACAATAAATTACTGTAATTGTACTTTCTATTTTTTCATTTTTAACAGATTTATTAGTCCTAATTCAGAAATTTCCGAAGATTCCATTATGCAAATGTCAAAATTCCATGAAGAATGTGAAGAACAAGTATACAATGATCAACAAGATGAACCACATTCTGAAGCTGTTTCATCTATTTCAAGTCCGAATCGTCCAATTTCACCAAATCAAAATATTGTCAGTTCAACAAAACATCATCCAAATGCAGAAGAAGGAGAGGAAGTGGAGGATGATGACGAGAACGAAGAGGAATATGTCGGTGATGATATTGTCATACATCATAATGATGAAGTGATCATGTGTCAAGAGTCAGAAACAGATCTCCTCTATCCATATGATCAACAATATCGACAAAAATTAGTTGATATCCATGAAAATCTTGATGAAAATAATTCTACACTCAATGGATACAGTGTCGACCAACACCACCACGAACAACAACAAGAACACCTTTATTCTGAAGTCTCAACTAATCACAGTGCAGAAATAATGATGCCAAAAGCGGACATGACAATGTCAACCGATGTAGATGTGACTGCTAATCATGATGCTACTACAACTGATCATATTCATACTCATGTAGAAGAACAATATTTGAATGGAAATACAATTTATTCGACAGATAACAATATAAAAGATGATAACGGTGATCATTCAGCACCAACTACTAATCACTATCTTCATAATAATGATATATATACAAATGGACATGATAATATCAATGTGAATGGTAATGATTATTGTGATTTGAAAACCAATGAAGTGATTGGCAATGAGGATAATCAAGGAGGTATTTTCTGATGATATGTTGTTTTTTAAGGGTCTTTTCCTATGACTGTTGGTTTTGATTTGTTTTTTATACAACCAGTATGAATGTAAGGTGTATGGTAGACGCGATTATGTACGTACGACTGATATAATTAAGTAAAGTGACACTAGGTTCAATGATTGACAGGAGTCGAAAGGAAACTATTATGCCTACATGTAAACACGTCAGCTTGATATGCTTGAACTATTTTGAGTTCACGTTAGTCGAAAAACGAGAGCGAGGATAGAGGATCCGGTGACACCATATGCTACTCAAATCCGATTATCCCAACCCCCATATTAAGTGAAAATAAGAAGACAAGACTTGATATGAAGTAGAACCTGCGTTCTACTATCATCCACAAAGTACGAGGTTCGAACCCAGAAGAAAATTGGAATCTCGGACTAGGGATCCGGGACCGGGTCCTGATCATAAAACGTTACAGATGATGCGTATTTATACATTTTGGTCGAACAGGAAACAGCATCGAAGTCTGTGACATTGATAGTCAGGACAACTAATAAGAAACAACATTGGAGTACGTGACATTGATATCTACTAGGACGACCATAAAATTGACCAGTATGAATTAACTAATAGGAATTGAGCAATAATTCTCTTAGGATATTGGATAAATATCCTAACAGAAACCCTAGGTGTATATGCCCTGGGCTATTCTGGAGTTGTTAGCATGTTACCCCGTGATATTTTAGATGAATTAATGCTTCGTGTCGGAGTCGAGTGTGTCATCCAGTTTCATTACGCTGAGACATTCCTACTGAACTAGTTGAATAATTGACTAACCCTCTTGTAGGATTGAGATATACATATACAAGTGGTTGATTTAGTCAGTCAAAATGAATCAACAAAGATTGGTATACAATCAGTTTAGTTAGTTAAAACATTAAAAATTGCGAGTTATTAGGAGCGAGAATTCCTATCACACAACTTAAAACAGATTAAAAATAATCATCATTGAAACACACTGTTATTCATTATATGAAGGTTACAACAATCAGTTAGAGGGAAAATTGATGCGACATTATGACCAATCTTTCATTTTCAATAATGTCAACGAGTTTGACATCCTACAATAGTTGTTTTCCAGGACCTTAAAGTGGCATTCGACTCAGTGGACCGTGAGATTCTGTGGCAGTGTCTGTCATTGAAAGATGTACCAAAGAAGTACATTAACCTCAACTCTCTACTCGAACATCACTGGTTGAGTGAGAGCTTATGGCGAACTGTCATTGGAATTCCTTACTTCAAGTGGTGTCCGTCAGGGATGTCTACTCTCTCCATTCTTGTTTAATTTTATCATAGACATGCTCCTAGATATAACATTATCCTCGTCTGAATTTTCAGGAGTAGGCTTTCTACCAGGTGGCTCGCTTATTGACTTAGAGTATGCCGATGACATAGTCCTACTTGGTGAAGACGCTGACAAAATGCACTCTTCTGACCACCCTAAGCAACAATGCAAGCATGTTCGGGATGCGGTTATCCCCCTCGAAATACAAAATGTTGCTTGAATTTTGGGTTGCGTCGGCATCTGAACTAGTGATTGGGAGTGAAGTAGTCGAGCGTATAGACCGCTTCACTTATCTGCGGATTTTCTCATCAGTGCTAATGGCCTGGTGTGTGTGACGAAACCGCAGCTCGGATACCGAAGGCTCGATTGACTTTTGCCAACCTGCGTCACTTATGGCGTAGGCGAGATATCCGTTTGCTGACTAAAGGACGAGTGTACTGTGCATCAGTTCGCTCCGTCGTACTGTACGCATGCGAAACTTGGCCGTTAAGAGTAGAAGACTTTCGTAAGTTACTAGTCTTCGATCACTGGTATCTCCGAAGCATTGCTCGTGTATCCTGGGACAACCGTATAAGTAATGCTGTCGTTAGGAAACGAGTTCTAGGTAAGGATGGCAAACCAATAGATGAAGTAGTGAAACCTCATCAGTTGATATGGTTAAGACATTTTTTGAGTATGTCTAACCACCGACTGCCTTGTCGAGCTATATTTTGAAGTTTAGGAGAAGGTTGGAAGAAAGCTAGGGGCGGTCAGAATAAGATGTAGTACAAATCCATGAAGACATTGACAAGTGGACTGAGTCATGTTGGTAGATATAGACTACCTGGTCGGGATTACTATCGTCTGACCGGCCCTGAAACAAATAGTCTATACCTATCGAAATGACTCAGTACACATCCTTTTGAAAATGAAGAAGCATTGAACAGCTGTTTTGTCATAGTGTGGCACTGCTTAACATTGGACATCCATCATCCCACTAACAGTTTAGTTAAAAAAAAACATCTAATTTTATAATGAATACAGTTGAAGTACTATTGTAGTGAAGGAGAACACAGGTGAGGTCAACCGAATTGTATTTAACGAAAATTACAGAGTTACTCAGTAAAATAGGAAAACCATATCGTAAATCGTTAATTTGCAAATCTTCAATCAATCATCAATCCATTGTCTGACATTTCACTTATTCATGCATTTCATACAAATTCCATTATGTTCCCACTCTTCCTTTCTTGATCTTCTCCCATCTTCTGCTGCCAGACATTACGTTTACACTCACGTCATATACTACTTATAAGTAGCGCTCATCACACTATTATTGAACATTTTGAGAATGATAATGAATACTTTTTTTTATCGATTTTTGGATATATTTTTACAGATAACAATCATTCAAATCATTGGAATAAAAGTACTATTCATTATTTATCCGAAACAGCAATCAATGATGATATGAACTTTACAAATTTCTCTTCAAAAACCACAGCCAATGAATATATGAAAGCAGCCAGTATGGCACATTCTTATCCTGGAGAAGAAAATGTGGAAAATGTTTCAGAAGAACATGCACAACACATGATGACGATGATGATGTCTACAACTAGTCCGCCACCATCTGCTGCTACATTCACAACTGGTGCTAGTCCATCGAAAGACATGGAAACGTTTGATAAATTTTTCATTGATCACAATCAAACAACCCCATCGGATTTACATCAGAATACTACGTCACCTTATTGTAGTCCAACAGAAGAACCATTTGATCCAATGAAAATATGGGGTCATCCACTTGGTCTCCCAGCTCCAGTACCACCTATAACAAGCCAACATTCAAAGTGTAAGTGAGAATATTTTAGAGATGCGTAATTTTGCATGAATTTCTCTATATAACTAACTCTATGTATGATGGGCGAAATTGTACAATGTACTTACTCACTAGAGTGACCAGGTTCGTGAGGAATTTCTTGGATTTCAAGTGAGAAACTATGTGACTGGTGGAGTTTGACCCTGTCGAATGCAGTAAGCACCAATATACTTACTTACTTACGCCTCTTACCCCCCAGTGGAGCAGCATAGGTCACCGACCAGTATTTCCCAACCTATTGTCTCTTTGGCTTCCTTTTTGCAGTTCTGTCTAATGTTTGTTCATTTTTCTCATGTCTGTTTCCATTTCTCTGAGTAATGTGTTTCTTGGCTCGTTCCTCTTCTCTTTTTACCTTGAGGGTTCTAAGTGATGACTCGTCTTGTGATGATGCAGTTGGGTGTGTTCTATCCACTTTCACTATCGAAGATAAATGGGTGAAGTCGCACTAAAAAATCGCTAGACTGATCAGAGTTAGATAGCAGCACCGTTAAATGTCGGCTCATTTGTCCAGTGGTTAGGATTTCACACACAAGACCAACGCGTCTTCTTCAGTTTGAATCCTGCAAGCAGCAGCAGGAGTTGTAGATACGCGCTGTCATTGATAAGTAGTAGTCCTATACCACAGAATGAAACGTTCAACTTTTCAATGGTCTTCATTCATGGATTTCACAAGAAAAATTTAATTTTACAGGTGAATTAAACATAACATGAAATAACATGAAAATATTCTCTCTCATAGACTGGCTAATTAAGGATACTTTTCATGATTATCGTTCGTTATTATTTCGATTAGTCAGCGCACTATACACTACATGAATTTCCTATCTAGTATATACATGTGTCTATACTTTTTTGTTGTCTATCAGAGTATATATATCATCATGCATTTGCAACACTTTTCTATCTGTTTATGTATGCAATGATGAATATATGCCTTTCTCTATAACAATAGTAATAATAAAACTTCAAATCAGCTGTCCATCTGTCTAATTGTTTATACTATTTGTGTTAACCTATTTATCTGTCTGTCTGTTTGTCTGACTGACTGATGATTCCTATTCAAGTACAATATAATACACCTGTGCATATGCACATCACGTACTACTTACGTACGTACGTACACCATGATAGAATCTACATTTCATTTGCTGCATTGTTACCATTTCAGCCTTTCACTACTAACAATCCAGTGTTTATTCGAAATCAACTTTTGCACACACACACTCACACACAACATATAGTGTAGTGTAGTGCAGAAAATACAAACGTACATGAATAACTGTATACCGGACAGGTATATCCAATTGGTTTCCACTATTTCTATCTATCTCTTCCTCGTCTAATTTGTGTTTTTCACATTCTGCTCTCTCTCTCGCGCGCGCGCTCTCTCCACATGAAAAAAATAATGAGTTGTCATGACTTTGCATCTTTCAAACAATGATTTTCTCTAATATATCCCTTTGTGTTGTTGTATACGTCGTGCAAGTGTAAGTTGAGTCACACTGTATGTATGATATATGCTGTATTGTGTATATTTCTGCCGTTATTAGATAGATAGATATACAGTACATGAACAAATCATTATTCAGGTTAGATGTAGTCTATGGTAGTCAAGTGAAATGAACTGACTATTTAAACATACAGTTTTAGTAATATGGAAACTAGATTGCACATTCGAAATCATCAATCACTCATTGTTAGACCACCACCAATAGAAGAAACCTGGAAGCACTGCAGGACGGCCGTTTCGTCCTGATAGGGATGGGACTCATCAGAGACAGTGCGCATCCACGACTCCTGCACCTTGCAGGATTCGAACCCGGCACCTTCGGTATTGTGCGCGAGCGCTTAACCATCAGACCACTGGGCCGGCGACATCAAACGTTGTTAATGTCTAACTCTTCTGGTTGATCTAGCGATTTTGCGCGACCTGACCCATTCGTCTTTAGTAGTTACTGCATACTACACCCAAAAAGGTTGAACTCCATTTGTCACGTCTTCTCATCACTAGAACTCGGAGGAGATTCCTCACGAATCTAGTCACTAATGAGCACTGTTACGAAAAAAATAAGAAGTTGTTTTGATTAGAGAAAATTTGAATTGACAAAACTTGTGTTTACTTTGTCTCTCTCTTCGTGTGTGTATAACTTAGTTAAGTAAGATAAAATTCATCTTTGTGTGTAATTTCGTTTTTAAAAATTTGTCTTAATCTTTAAGACAGTACAGTTTGACTTGATTGACTGATTTAGTTCATGCCACTAAATGATTGATTGACTTGGCCAGTCGTCTATTGTCATGATGACCTAATATCGATTAGAAAAGATGGTTGAGAATCCTTAAATATATTTTCAAACACAACTATTTTATTCTAAAGTCTAACCAAATTTTGGTTTATTCGGGTAAGGAAAAATTGCTGTGGCTCTCCGTTGTTTCGTATCGGGTGATGGTATAGACGGGTATGAAAAGGTGTCTGTCTCTACTGATATTTTTATTTAACTGATATATATGTTCATGACGAAAATCGGACTTTGACAAATTAAGGTGAACATGCGCACTGCTGATGAGTCCCATACCAGGGCGAAACGGGTGTCTACCAGTGCTTCTGCCAGGTTTCTAATGGTGCTGGTCTACCACTAATGATTGATTGATGATTTCAAATGTGTAAGAACGCAAACCTCCAAAACTCTGCCCCAAAATATCGTAACAGTGCTCACTAGTGAGGAAATTCTCGGAGTTCTAGTTGAGAAGACGTGACCAATGGAGTTCAACCGTGTCAGGTGTAGTAAGCAGTAACTACCAAAGACAAAAATGGGTGAGGTCGCGCAAAATCCCTAGATCAACCAGAAGAGTTAGACATTAACACCGTTTGATACCGCCGGCCCAGTGGTCCGATGGTTAAGCGCTCGCGCACAATACCAAAGGTCCCCGGTTCGAATCCTGCGAGATGCAGGAGTGGTGGATGTGCACTGCCACTGATGAGTCCCATCCATACCAGGACGATACGGCCGTCCTGCATTGCTTCCAGATTTCTTTTATTGGTGGTGGTCTAACAATGACTGATTAATGATTTCAAATGTGTAAAAACGAAAACCTCCAAAACTCTGCCCAAAATAAGGTGAACACTTGTCAGAAATTGTTTTGCTTTTGTGATCTTAACCGTGTACATTTCTTCTGTGGATGTTGAATCCTCTTGGTAAGGGTTATTTGAAAATTGGAACTGCACATTTTCGCACCAAAAGTGCTGATTATTAGTGTCATTTTGTGTTTTTTCTACCTGAAAGGATCTTAAACATTGTTTGTCTCATTTTCCCTCTTAGTGAGTTATTTTCATTACATAGAGTGTGAATTGAATGCTCGGCTGGGTTGTTCGTTCGTTACTTCTTGGCTGTTTGTGGTGTTTTAAACTTTGAACCTTTCTCTCTAGTTAGTTGGTCTAAGGTGTAGAAAAGTAGCTTAGTTTTTTCCTGTTAATATATTACTAGTGTTACGCCTGCACGCAAACAACGTCAACTTGATATACTTGAACTATTACGAGTTTGCCTAATTGGGAAACGAGAGCGAGGATCGAGAATCTGGCGACACCACGACATGCTACTCAAATCCGATTACCCAAACCCCCATATTTAGTAAAAGAAGACAAGACTTGATATGAAGTAGAACATGTATTCTACAAGCATCCAGAAAGTACGAGGTTCGAATCCAGAAGACAATCAGGATCCCGGACTAGGGATAGTCAGGACAACCAATAAGAAACAACATTGGAGCACGTGACATTGATATCTAGGACGACCATAAAACTGACCAGTAGGAATTAACCAATAAGAGTAGACGAATAATTCTCTTAGGATATTGAATTATATGTCCTAACAACTAGTATATATGTTCCGTTCAATGGTATCAAGATATTGTCTGATAACTATTACAAGCAATAACATAAGTTGACTCACTATTCAACTTGTTTGTATGAATCACTTCATTTGTATATTTATGCATAAATAAGAGTTAGTTAATCAATAAACGGACGGGGTAAATTTTTCTGCTTAAAACCAATCTTGAGAACAAAAGGAACATTGTCCACTTGTGCCATGTTCAACTAGAGTCTACTCTGTTTGGTTTAACTATTCCCTCTCCCCCGCCCCCCAACTTTACTCACTCAAATGATGTCATTCTCTTGGTCGATCTAATTGTGTATTCTTTTACATTTATTTTCTTCATTACAGTACCAAATCACCAGTCAACTTTGACTAAACGTATGCGATCAACTGATACAGCTGGGCGAACATTAACAACTGGTGATTCGAGTAAGTTAAATTCTATTGATTTATGATTGAGGTGAATTTGTTCATGATTGTTTGAAGCAGTGTTGTTTTGTCCATACATAAGACTCATCAGCTATGCTTAGTAGTCAAAACCATAATTAGTCATTCATCTTGTTTTTTTGAGTAACAACTTATTTGAAGAATTCTTAAAGTGTACCTAAATGAGTAGAGATGGTCAGTGGATTTCATCTGTGTCAAAGGTGAAACTTGATGTTTGCAGATTATGATAAATTGAAGTTTGAGAAACATTACTTAATTACTTACTTACTTACTGGGTTGCATCGGCACCTGAACTAGTGATAGGGAGTGAAGTAGTCGAGCATGTAGACCGCTTCACCTATCTGGGGAGTCTCATCAGCGCTGATAGCCTGGTGACTGACGAAATCTCAGCTCGGATACAGAAAGCTCTATTGGCTTTTGCCGAACTGCGTCACTTATGGCGTAGGCGAGATATCCGTCCGCTGACCAAAGGATGGGTGCACTGCGCAGCAGTTCGCTCCGTTCTCCTATATGGATGTAAAACATAGCCGTTAAGAGTAGAAGATGTTTGTAGGTTACTAGTATTCGATCATAGATGTTTAAGAAGCATTGCTCGTATACCGTGGGACAACCGAGTAACAATGCTGTCGTTAGGAAACGGGTGCTAGGTAAGGATGGCAGATCAATAGATAAAGTATTGAATCTTCATCAGTTGAGGTGGTTGGGACATGTGTTACGAATGCCTAACCGCTGACTACTATGTTTTGTGGTGTAGGAGTAGGTTGGAAGAAAGCTAGGGGCGGCCAGACCAAAACATGGCAGCAATCCGTGAAGTCAGTGACAAGTAGACTGAGTGATGTTTGTAGATCTACACTACCTGATTGGGGTCCGCGAGACGAAAGTCACTGACGGTTAGAGACCTTGAACGACATGGCTCAAAATCGTTCTCAATGGCGCAGGTGCATCCATTCTTTCAACTTTCTCAAATCCTAATCTTCTGAAATCGTCAGCACCTCTACCTTTGTCCTTCTAACTTTATCTCAGTGAATTATACTTCTTGAATAATATCTTCAAACCCTAGTCTTCTTCATTACCATTAATATCTCTACTATCTTTAACACTATGGGATTTGATTTAACATTTGAGTCTGTGTGTGGCAATGTTGTATGGCAACCTGAATTGATGTGCATACGTACGAAGTTCTACGTTGCAACTGACTGCCCGAATGGAAAAAATGCCGCCGACCAGCATTCTCCAGCATTCTTCTCTCGGAGTAATGTGTTTTTTTTGTCTTACTGTTTCCGCTGACCTTGAGGATTCCGTATGGCCGCTTGTCTTCTAACGCAGTTGGGTACTTTCCCCAATGTGTGTCCTCTATCCACTTCCGATGTGCTTTTTCCTGATTTCTTCCTGCACTAGATTCTGGTTTGTTTTGATAGTGTCTGACCAGCGAATCCTCTGTATTTTGCTTAGTTAACTGTTGATAGTTACTACTTGCATCTTCTGGATAAATGGCTTTTTGTAGTTCTTCAAGTTTTCGCGCCAACAATACCATACTATAACTCAATAATCTAAGGATAGATTGTATATACATTATGAAACCAGAAGATTCAATGATTTTTCAATTAATTTTCAATACATATATCCAACGTAAAATCAGTCCATAATGTAAAATGCATTATGTTGTTCTATACCTGTTACGCCTGCACGTAAACAACGTCAACTTGATATACTTGAACTATTACGAGTTAACCTAGTGGGAAAAAGAGAGCGTGGATCGAGGATTCGGCGAAACGACATGCTACTCAAATCCGATTATCCCAACCCCCCATATTTAGTGGAAATAAGAAGACAAGACTTGATATGAAGTAGAACCTGTATTCTACAAGCATCCAGAAAGTACCAGGTCCGAATCCAGAAGAGAATCAGGATCCCGGACTAGGGATCCGGGTCTTGATCCTGGTCCTGATCGTGGTCATAAAACGTTACAGATAATGCGTATTTACACATTTTGGTCGAATAGGAAACAGCATCGAATTCTGTGACATTGACAGTTAAGACGACCAATAGGAAGTAATATTTGAAATGACATTGATAGTCAGGACAGCCAATTAGATAGAACATTTGAAATGACATTGACAGCTGGGATGACCAATAAGAGACAACATTGGGTGAGGTCGCGCAAAATCCCTAGATCAATCAGAGTTAGACATTAACACCCCTGCATGCAGGCTCGGTGGTCTAACGGTTAGGCCGTTCGCGCACGTTACCGAAGGTTCCGGGTTCGAATCCCGCGGGGTTCAGGAGTCGCGGATGTGCACTGCTGAGGGGTCCCATACCAGTACGAGAAGGCCCTCCAGTGCCTCCAGGTTTCCAATGGTGGCCTAACATTGATCGATTCATGGTCTCAAAAAATCTTTAACAGTTAAAACAACCATAATTTTCACGAATAAAAATCGACCCTTTAGGATTTGACTAATAATAATTCTCTTAGGATATTGGATTGAATATCCTAACAATATCATATTCTATCACTCTGTTATCTTGAACTAATAATGTTCATTTATCAACTAAACATCCATACACTGGTGATAATAATGATCGTTTATTTTCTCCATTTCTCTCTTAGTTAATCAAAAGATGCTTGTGTATGTGTGTGTCTCTTGGTTGGAATGTGTGTGTGTGTATGTGTGCGTGCGTGTAGGTGTAGCTGTATCGATTCATTTTTCTTAGTAGGAATGCACTAAACAAGGAATAACACTGTGTTACGCGGCATTGCATATTCTATGCATTTTTCAGTTATTATTGTTATTGTAGTTGAAGTGAATAATTTCAAATCTTATCATTACTATTATTAGTAGTTTATATCACGTATCATTTTGTTTAAACCACATACTGTAGTGTAGTACTGTAGTGTTGTTAATTTAGGATTTTTGTTTTCATACTAAATCAATAAAACTAAAATATATTTTTTTTAAAAGAACAAATGAATGCCTTGAAATTGTTTACTCTTTTTTTTCAAATGTTTTTACTTGTCTATGACAGAAAGATAAACACTTTTGGGGGATAGGAAGAGAACATTTTTTTTTCATCATGTCATCTAAATGCATTTTTGTGTTTACACTGTTTCCGTAGTTGGTTTTTGTTTGTTTAATCGACACAGAGAGAGAGAGATAGACAGAAATAGTTTTCTATGTCACATTCATCTATGGATTAGATGTTTTTGTAAACTTGAATTGTTGACTTTTTAAAGTAACACTGGCTATAAATAGTAGTAGTAGTAGTAGTAGTAGTAGTAGTAGTAGTAGTAGTGTGGTTTGGTGTACGCTACTTATGTTCACATAAGTAGTATATATGATATCAAACAGAAATCAAATGGCTGACAGTAAAAGATCGAGAAGGAAAGAATGAGAATAGAAGACGATTTGTAGGTAACGTAAAGTGAACTAAAGTCTGAACAGTCTAAATTGAAAGAACACTGAAATCTGAAACAAATAATGAATAGTTTGCAAATGATGTAATCGTGGGAAGGCTTTGTATATATGCTTAACAACTCTATAATATTTGCTTCAATATAGATGTTGATGTATTCACTTGAGTTTTCGTGCTCAACAGTAGTAGTGGTTTTTGAGTATTAGCTCCGCTCTTAAAAGCCCTTAGTGAGCACCCTTACACAAGGAGACGGAAATCCGTGAGGTATGATGGGGTGTGATATGTTTAGGGTCGACCTTTTCTAACCACTTCCTTCCTTGTGAGAATGCAGCATCGCTGCAGATGCTGGTTGTCCGAGGGAAACACCTTACTGCTGCCACACCCCTCCACATTCAATCAGCAGTACGAACTCGCCGTCAAACTGAGTAGTTGCTTCTCGTCTTATCGTTCTCCAATCGACCTGCTTACTTACTTACTTGCACCTGTTACCCCAAACTGAGAATAGGCCGCCGACCAGCATTCTCCAACCTACCCTCTGTCCTGGGCCTTCCTTTATTGTTCTGTCCAATTTCAGTTCATTCTTTTCCCCCCAAGTCCCCTGTGGGGCTACTACCGCTACGAGTCCGGACAAAGGAGGAGAGCTGGGCGTGGGGTTGGCGACCCCATTCCATAGAAAACCAACCCGCTTGATAGACTCTAACCGGAAAAAAAAAAGTAATTCCGTGGTTTATATATACAAACATATTGAATTGAATTGATGGTCACTGTGAATACTTAAAAGATCAACTATTGTGTTTGAGATTGTCCGCATAAAACTATTTGAAATTGAACATGAGATACAAGTATTTATTAGCAGCATTCTACACAAAATGCTTCGGATTCGTTGACCAGACATCGTCAGCAAAAAACCTACTGTGGTGTGAGAGAACAAACCAGATTCCATCGACGGAAAAAATGAGGAAGCAGCGCTAGAAGTGGCTAGGATACACGTTGCGTAAAGCACCCAACTGTGTCACAAGACCAACCCTCACTTGGAACCGTCATGATTAAAGGAAGAAAAGAGGAAGACCAAGAAACACATTACTCCGAGAAATGGAGACAGACATGAGAAAAATGAACAGAAATTGTACAGAACTGAAAAGAGAAGCCCAGAACAGAGTAGTAGGTTGGAGAATACTGATTAGCGGCCTATGCTCCATTGGGTTGGAGGCAACAGGCGTAAGTAAGTAAGTAATTAAGTAAGCCTTTTATTTGAAACTTGCTCCTATCGAGTTATTTTTCCAGTGATAGTGTTTTAGCTGGCGACATTAAAGTCCCTTTTGTTCTGTCTTCTTACTGATACGCAACTGTCTGTCATTGTTGAAGCGTTGTTGTGTGTAGGTTGTCTGGTCCTGTATAATTTTGTTAGACCAGTTTTCCTAACCGAAACATTTTCAAATTGTCTCTGTTTTAAGATGCAGAAGGATAACATGTATGTTATAGAATCTTGAATATCAAACTGTTAAACGTTTGTTTTTTTAATCTCTCACCTTCATGTGTTATGTGCGCTATCGGTGTTTGTGTGCGCGTGCGTTTAGACGATTCAACTCTACCGCCTGGACCACCAGTTTATTTGGATGCCATATGGGTACCTAGTTATCTAGTTCGTGTACCGCATCCTTTAATTGTGGAGTTTTTCATTCGTGTCCGAGCGAAATTATACATTTTATCCGGTGAAGCATTACATCCTTCTATTGCTGAAGCACTGATTACAGCTAAAACAAAATGGAATCCAGATGGTAAGTTGCAAATTTATTATTGTTGTTGCAATTACTGTTTTATTGTATTTACAATTGTACAATTTGTTTGATAAGCAATTCGTTGATAAGCATTCTGTTCACCGAATTCTATGCTTTAAAATGAATATATATATATATATATATATATATATATATATATATATATATTCTTGGTTAACCATTATGCCCGCTGCGCATCATGCACGCTGCTGCATTTTAAGCAGCACAAGGATTCTCACAAGAGCCATTATGGCGATCACCCCTCTGCCCCATACGGGAAAGTACATGATGTTGTCTAGATTGGTCTGCAGACAAGTGGACGTCTAGAAAGCACGCGCACGAGCAGTAGCCCCTTTTGGGCACCTATGAACCAACAAGATCCCTCGAAACCAGTTCACTACCAACAATCCCTAATAGGCAAGGGCAGCAAGGCGGGCTTTCCCAGTTAGACCTGGAGCCCCGAACGGATTGCCGAGCCATCCAGCAGCCGTTCCAAACGTCTGGCCTCCAACTGCCTTGAGCTGATACAATCGACCGGAGCCCTCAGACCCCACATGAAGAAGAAGATCGAATTTGTCCCAAAAGGTCAGCTAGAACGTATACCCTCCCACGTGGAAGATGTCATGGACTCGGCCAAGCTGGGTTAATCCCACATAAGTGGGCAGACATCATTGGCGTCCAGTACCCTTTAGCACCGGATCACATAACCCAACTGAAGACCCTTGTTTAAGGGGCCTCAACGCCAGCTGACACAATACACCGAGATGCAGAGTGTTTGGGATAACCACATAGGGTCGGCGTCAATAGTCCACGATGTTTACGGCTGCTTCCTCAAACATATCTTCTAGGACCGTCTTCAAGTATCCTATTGTCCCAATATTTCAAAATTTACCTACACTCAATAGACGGGATTCAGACCTAGAGACGTTCAGCCCTAATCCCCCAGAGTGGTCAACCGCATCCATCGCCTTGCGACCATGAACACGTACCATCAATCTGGACCATGCTAGGCACGGTATCCTAAGCGACCGGAACGGCATTTATCCGCAGTGATGTATCCACCGCCACGTTGCCTAGAGGTACCACAAATAGTTAGCCGTCACCACAACTCCCAGAAGGCTCCATTTATGCGCGTCACCTAACATATCCCTTCAATTAGATGACGAGGCATTTGGCTACTACCTTAAAGAGAGTCATAGTTACTCCCGCCGAATTCTATGTCTTAAAATGAAGATATATATGCATATGCATATACATATTATTTCCTCAATGTGATATTTATTGATTTATTGCCGAAAATGCACCGCTTATTTGCTGATACACCTATACACACAAAAAACATACCTACACACAATCATTTACAATAGAATTCCGTTCTGTTGCGTTCTTTTAATTCAGTTAAAATTATTATTATTATTATTATTATTATGCAAAAGTGTGGTTAATTTATGTTCACTGCGTTCTCTTGTGTGTGATTTTGTAAAATGAATTCGCTATTTTATTGATCGTTTTGTGAAATCATCATAAAATGACTCGGTTTTGTAAAATAATCCGTGAATGAATGCATGAATGAATGGGTCGATATTTTCAGTTTGGCATACAGCGATCAAGCTTCGATCATCTTGTCTTTGTGTCTCTGTGTGTGTGTGTGTGTGTGGTTGATCATTACATTGAGTATATTTGTGTGTGTGTGTTTGTGTCTGTGTATTCAGTGAACTCCTCCTTTTTTTCCCATCATATTTCTTGCTCAGTCTGTTTTATATATTCATTTCAAGTCTTCCGAGAGAGAGGGAGAGAGAGAAAGTGAGACTAAAAGAGAATATAGATAGAGAAATTTTTCATCGATGTCGACGGAGAATATTCTATCTGCATTACGGAGTTGTGAAGATTGTTATGTTACACATTTTTTGGAAACCATGAATCGATCAATGTTAGACCAACATTAGAAACTTGGGAGAACGGCCGTTTCGTCCTGGTATGGGACTAATCAGTGGCAGTGCGTATCCACAACTCCTGCACCCCGCTTCGTGAGGAATCTTCTCCGAATTCCAGTGGTAAGATGTGACCAGTGAAGTTCAACCTGTTCGGGTGTAGGCAGTGTCTACCGAAGACTGTGTATGAGGTTGCGCAACTCCGTGAATTTGATCAAGTTAGACATTAACACTGTCAGACACGGGCTGGGTGGTCCGATGGTTAGGCGTTCGCCTACAATACCGAAGGTCCTGGGTTCGAATCCTGCGGGGTACAGGAGTCGTGAATGCGCACTGCTGAGGAGCCCCAGTCAGTCAGTCAGTCAGTCAGTCAGTTGCAACGTGGAACTTCGTACGTATGTACATAAGTTCATGTTGCCATACCACATTATTAGCACAGAGACGCAAATGTCAAATCAAATCCCATAGTGATAAAGATGGTAGAGGTATTAATGTTATATTAAAGAAGACTAGGGTTTAAGATATTATTCAAAAAATATAATTCAGTGAGATAAGGTTAGAAAGACAAAGGTAGAGGTGCTGGCTAATCCAGAAGATTAGGATTTGAGAGAGCTCAAAGAGTGGATGCACCTGCGCCATAGCAAACGATTTTGAGCCATATCGTTCAAGGTCTCTAACCATTGATGACTTTCGTTGAGGAGCCCCATATCGGGACGAAACGGCCGTCTTTCAGTGCTTCTTCCAGGTTTCTAATTGTGGTCTAATATTGATCGATTCATGGTTTCAAAAAAATATTCTGTCATTCGTTTTTTTTAAACGCTAACTCAATCTCCTATCAATGTGAGGGGATGTGATCCACCTGATTTCTATATTCACATTATTTACGTATATAATTGGTAGAAAGGATTAAAGTACAATTCATAATGATGAACAGAGAAATACATTATTGGTCAGCCATTGTGGTGGTGGTATTTGGTTCTCTGAGCTGCAGATGTTTTGGTTGTCGAGCTTTCATTGTTCTTCCACTGAACAACATCATCATCAGCACAAACTTCAGATAGAAGAAGTGAAGTATTCGAATTTCTCCACGTTGTATGACCTGTAGCTTGTTCTGTTAACCTCGATTGGTTGCACTGTTGACCTTAAATCTGTCGTTGTTTGTACCTTTGTGGTTTTGATTGTATCCCCCACTTTTGATCTGTTTCTTGATCCTATGTTCGCCTATGATTTTCCTGATTTGTTGATAAATTGGGTCAATGTCGATATGTTTGTTGATTGCTGATTGACCTGAGTGCCAAGCTTCTAAAAAACGCACCATCTCAAAATATTGGTCAGTCAGTCAGTCAGTTTCAAGCATGGAACTTCATACATACATAGATATCACTGCAAG